CAATGGGCTCATGAACCAAGTGGCCATGGTGGCAGGGATGGAGATTACGCATGGGCTCAGCAACATGGACTTCCACTCACCAAGACCAACTTGCCTACAGCTACTGCTCAGTGCTCAATCTGCCAGCAGCAGAGACCAGCATTGAGTCCCCAATATGGCACCAATTCCTTGAGGTGATCAGCCATTAACTTGGTGACAGGTTGATTACACTGGATCACTTCCATCATGGAAAGGGCAGTGTTTTGTTCTTACTGGAATACTTACTCTGGATATGGATTTTCCTTCCCTGCACACAATGCTTCAGCCCAAACTACTATCTGTGGACTTACAGAATGCCTTATGCACCATCATGGTATCTCACACAGTATCACTATGGAACAAGGGAATCATTTCACAGCAAATGAAGTGTGGCAATGGGCCCATGATCATGGAATTCATTAGTCTTACCATGTTCCCCATCATCCTGAAGCAGCTGGCTTAATAGCAGCTGGCCTTCTAAAGACATAATTACAGCACCAGCTAGGTGTCAACTTTGCAGGGTTGGGGCAATGTTCTCCAGGAGGCTGTATATGCTCTAAACTAGCATCCAGTATACGATGCTGTCTTTCCCATAGGCATGATTCATGGGTCCAGGAATCTAGGGGTGGAGATGGGGGTGGCACCACTCATTATTACCCCTAGTGACCCACTCTCAAAATTTTTGTTTCCTGTCCCTGCAGCCCTATGTTCTTTGGGTCTAGAGCTCTTATTTCCAAAGAAAGGAATGCTCCCAAGAGCATATACAACACTGATTCCACTGAACTGAAAGTTAAGAATGTCACCCAGCCACTTTGAGCTCCTCATGGCTCTGTATCAACAGGCAAAGAAGGGAGTTACTGCATTGGCTGGTGCGACTGGTCCTGATTCCCAAGATGAAATTGGGTTGATAATACATAATGGGGGTAGAGTATGTCTAGAATACAGGAAATCCCTTAGGGTGTCTCTTAGTACTACCATGCCCTGTGATTAAAGTCAATGGAAAATTACAGCAACCCAATTCCAACATGACTACTTATGGCCCAGACCCTTCAGGAATGAAGGTCTTGGTCACCCCACCAGGCAAAGAACCACGACTAGCTGAGGTGCTTGCTGAGCGTAAAGGGAATATGTAATGGGTAATGGAAGAAGGTAGTTTTAAAACAAGCGATGACCACATGACCAGTTGCAGAAATGAGGACTGTAATTGTTATGGGTATTTCTTCCTTGCCTGTGTGCATCAAATATTTTTGTTTTCTTCACTTATAAAATATAAGATATAAACAAGGCTACTGCGTTTTCAGTTGTACATGTGTTAGTTGAATCATGTTAGGCAGAAGTATGACTTCATTTATTTTGAGATTATGTATGGTTTCAGGAGATGTGTACAGGTGCCAAGTTGACAACTGGTGGAATTGGTTAAGGTTGCGTGTCAACTTGGCTGGGTCATGATTCTCAGTGATTTGGCAGTTATGATGTAGTTTGGCAGTTATGTAATGATGTAATCACCTCTATGGTGAAATCTGATATAATGTAATCAACTCCATGATGAGATCTGCAGTTAGCAGTCCATCAGTTGAAAGAGAGTTTCCTTGAGGGTATGGCCTGCATCCAATATATATGGACTTTCTGGCAAAGCTCTCTGGCATTTGCTTGCTCTGGATCCTGCAGGCTTGAGCTAGCAGCTTGCCATATTGCCTGCCAAACTTGGAATTGGTTGGCCTCCACAGCCTGTGAGGCAGCAGTTGTCTGACCTGCCGATCTTAAGGTTCATCAGCCCCTGCAGCTACGTGAGTGAGAAGAAGCCTCCAGCCTGACACCTGACCTACGGACTTGGGACTTTTCAGCCTCTACAACTGTGTGGGCCATTTCTTTGGTATAAATCTCTCTCTCCATATATATATATATAT